AAATTAGAAAAATATGTTATTTTAATAATATTTTAACTAAATTTATCTTTGTCAAAATCAAAAATTTCGACCCGTGTTGGAAAGACCCTCTAGCCAGCTGGGTTGTAAGTGATGATTCAATCGTTGTAGAAAATTTATCGCCTAAACAGCATGAAAAATATATGGTAAGACTTTGCTTTTTTTTGCCTTAGTTAACATTTTAATTAAATTGACTCTTTAACAGAAACCAGCTCGAAACATGGTTGTCATGCTCCCAAACTCGATTAAAGATAAATGTCATGAGTTCGTATCAGGTTTTCCAAAAGAATACGCAGGAGATTTATGTATAAAACTTACACATGATGGGGAATGGAAAGAGACGGATAAAACTCTTATGGATGTTACAGGGGGGATTCTTGATGTATTGTAAGTAATTTTTAAGATGGGTAAAGTTCTTATATGATTCCTTAAATTGTTAATTTTATACTATTTAATTCGAAAGGGCTGATGTTTGGATGAATCCGGCGTTTGGGCCAGAGCTCATGAAAACGCAAAGTGAAGGAACGTACGTAACGGATATAATAATTCCTTCGATTCGAGCATCATTGAAAGGGCCCCCATATAGACAATTTGGATTTATCAGCATGTAAGTCATTTCATTATAAATGTTCTATTTATCACTACTAAAAATTCTTTTTTTTTCGAAATTCACTATAGTGCAGAGCGACAAAGCATTGCTAGTGCAGATAGAAAAGGGGAGGGATATTTTGGAAAACGGCCGGATTTTATGTATATACAAAAACAGGAAGGTAAGTTATTTGAGCTTGTATTTGGCGAATGCTCACGTTTATCATGTAGCGATACCAAGAAGAAGGAAGACGAAATAAAATTGTGGAGGGAAACAAATGATGGCATGTTTTGGGTACGACAGGGGTGTAAACCGGAAAAAGGCCAATTTGGTATTGTAGGAATTCAGGTAGCAGGTAATATTTTGATATTATTATTTCAGACTCTAGTCAGTTGTTTCCCGATTTAATAACAAGATGTTATATTATAGGGACCGAGATCCAGTTAAATGTACTCATTAGGGATAACCTTGATATACATCGATATTATCATCTTAAAAAAACACAAATTCCTATACAGCGATCTGAACAGGCCTTATCAATTTTACCTGAATTTGTTGAGTTATTGTTGAATTTATGGGTAATTATTTTAGTACACTAAATCTCATTTATGTGCATAAGAAAACTAATTTTATTTTTTATATAGAATATCCTGATCATTAATTTATCTTTGCTAATGCAAGTACCCACAAGTAAGACGCATCGTGTTGAAAAAAGTACCACAGTATCATCACCGCCTAGGGAAGAAATACACAATGAACAAAACAAAAAGAGGAAGAAAAGATCTAAGAAAACATCAGAATCTATTAAACATAGAAGAAGTTAGTATTTTTAGAATATATTTATATCATGTATTTTATCTTGTGTGTTAATAAATACCCGCATATTTGATCGAATTTTTTCTTGGCAAAGTGGTTTGATGATATCTAATTATTGGTTGTGTTAAATTTTTTATACCTCCGTTCAAAATTTCGACTGAAGTAGTTGTGGAAAAATATAATTCCAAAATGCCGAACTATATCCTGCTTGGTTTTGTACTAAAAAATATGATAAACTTCCAACTTAGTGATAGATGCAGAAGATGCTTGGGTAAGAATAACTCTGCGTATCAAGAATTACGAAGATAAAGGATCATGGGTCATAGTATCCGTTAATTAAAAGTAATGTCGATGAATTTTACAAGTCTTCTCAGCAGAACAGGCAAGGCCAAAAAAAGAGAAGATATGGGGAAGCTAAGGTCATACCCGTTTTAGTATTTGAGTCTGATTCATCCGTCAGTGATTCAAGTAATTCTTCCTCATCCAGGTGATCGAGATTTTTCATACATATATTCATTGTAAGTATAAAGTGCCGAAAAAAATAAGCCAGATCTAATTCATGCACATATTGAGGATGTCCGAATCGAGATTATTCGCCTTGAGATATCTACATACCTCTTCATAATCAAATACCTCCTTTTACATCTTATTTATGATAGTTATATGGCCCTCATGAATAATGTGATCATATTTATCCCGGTTTTGAAATTGTATATATTGCGTAGGATTTGTAGTGAATCTACCTTGAGTTTTTTGTCTGTTATTTCTAGATTTGCCAGACATATTAATATCTTATGTATAATGACGTATTATATCAAGTATTCATTTTTTTTTCTTGCCAATTTGGAACGCACGTGATTTTGATAAATGGTTACATAGAACCTTACTTTATTGATATATAAAAAATGTTACCGAAATAACAACATAAAAATAAATAAA